CATGCTGCGCCACGCCGAGCTGTCCCCATCGGCGCAAACGAGTGCGCTACAGGCGCTAGTGAACGTGCTGGAGAAGCCGGGGCGGCTGGAGGCGCTGGACCTGCCGCCCAGCGACGCCATGGAGCCACTCGTGCCGCTGCTGCTGTCGCCGTCGCTGGTGGTGGCGCAGCTGGCGGCGGGGCTGCTGGCGCACGTGCTCACGCTGGACGCCTTCCACAGCGACGGCATCACCGCCGCCGCCGCCGCCCCGCTGGTGAGGCTGCTGGGCAGCGAGCTGGAGTCGCTGCGCACGGAGGCCCTCAAGGCGCTGGAGCTCGTGTCCGCGTGCTGGCCGGGCGCCATCGTGGAGGCGGGCGGTATCGACGAGCTGTCTCGCCTGGTGGCGACGGCGCCACACCCCATGTGGCAGATGGCGGCGACGGTGCTGGCCAACGTGCTGCGCGCGCATGACAAGTGCGCGGCGCAGGTGCCGGTGCCCGTGCTCGTGCGCCTGCTCATGGCCAACACCGAGCCCGTGCAGGTCGTGGCGCTGTCCGCACTGCTGGCTCTGGAGCGAGAGGACCCGGCGAGGGGGGACGAGATGGCGCGCATGGGTGTGGTGGACGCGCTGCTGGAGCTGCTGCGCTGCCACCAGGTGGAGGAGGCGGCGGCGCGCCTGCTGGAGGCCATCTTCAACAACGCGCGCGTCAGGGAGTCGCAGACGGCGCTGCGCTCCATCGCACCGCTGGCGTCGTACCTGCTGGACCCCAACTCGGCCGACCCCAACGCCAAGCTGCTGGCGGCGCTGGCGCTGGGCGACCTGTTCCAGGAGACGAGCGTGGCGCTCAAGACGGTGGACCTCACGGGCGCGTGCCGCGCGCTCGTGGCGCTCATGGCGGAGCGGGCGAGCGAGGACCTGGTGATGGTGGCGCTGTGCGGGCTGCAGAACCTCGTAGCGTCCTCGCGCGCCAACAAGCGTGCCGTGGCGGACGCAGGGGGGTTCGGCGTGCTGGTGGAGCTGCTGACAGGCGGGTCGGCGGAGGTGACGTCGCAGGCGGCCAACCTGGTGCGGTTGATGCTGAACAACCACACGGTGCAGGAGTACGCCACACCGGAGCTGGTGTCGTCCATGACGGGCGTGATCGAGCGCGAGCTGTGGAAGACGGCGAGTGTGAACGAGGAGGTGCTGCAGGCCATCGAGGGGCTGCTCGCCACCTTCTCCCGCCTGCGCTTCAGCGAGTGCGCCACAGCCGCCATCCCCGTGCTGGTGGGCGCCATGAAGGTGGGCAGCGAGGTGGCGCAGGAGACGGCACTGAACGTGCTGTGGCTGCTGCGGCAGGGGTGGGCTTCGAGCAAGGAGATGGCGCGGCTGCAGTCCATCGCCATGGGTGACACCATCCCCGTGCTGCAGCTCATGCTGCGCTCCGGCCCCATCAACCTCTACGAGAAGGCGGAGACGCTGCTGTCCGTGCTGCCGGGCAGCCTGTCGGTGTGTGTGAAGCGCGGCAGCAACCTCAAGGCGTCCATGGGCGCCACCAACGCCTACTGCAAGCTCACCCTCGCTGATACCCCCGCCAAGGTCACCAAGGTCAGTCACAGTCACTGCATGCACGGGCATGCTCATAGGGATGGTGGTGAGGTGGGTGGGTAATGGGTGTCACCGGGATTGAGAGATGGCTGGTTCTGGGGCAACAGCACGTACAATAGGTGCTCTGTAATCAGCAGTTGTTTTCCCCGTCTTTGCTTGTTGGCTTGTGTCGTGTGTGCCATGTATTGTCGTGAGTGGTTATCATTGCTGTACCCTAAACCCTGAACTCCTGGTGCGTTTCATTGAATGGTGTGTGCTGTTTGTGGGCATGGCATGGCATGGCAGGTGGTGAGTGGCACGTGCGACCCCGAGTGGAAGCAGACCTTCACATGGCCGCTGGACGCCCCTCCACGAGGCCAGAACCTCCACATCTCATGCAAGAACAAGGGCACCATCGGCACTGTGAGTTACTACTGCCTGCCTGCTGCACTGTGTGCTGCTCACTGTGTGCTGCTCCACGTGTGTTCCATATCCAACCCGTGCTGTGTCTCATTCCCTTGGCTTGTGTGCACTGTGCTGTGTTGGGCGTGCTGTGTTGGCCTTGCTGGGGGTGTGGGATGGCAGAGCTCGCTGGGGAAGGCAACGATACAGATAGACCGGGTGGTGGCGCTGGGGATGGTGTCGGGCACGTACGTGCTGCAGCCAGAGGGCAACCGAGATGGCACGCAGCGCACCATCGACGTCGACTTCATCTGGTCCAACCGCTGATGCCATGCCGCTCCCTCATGTGCCCCTCACTCCACCCTGCCTTCCACCCACCCACCCACCGCTGATGCTGCTGCTGTCACTTACCCACCCTGTGTGGTGTAAGCATTGGCTTGACACTTGGGGTGCCCCTCGAGCAGCAGCAGATCCCGTCAATACAGCCCACCCCACACACAGTCCATCTTGTCTTGTGCCCCTCGCCCCTCTGTGCCGCTGCTGCTCCTCTCTGCCACCACCGCCTGCTTGCTTGCCCCAACAAACACAGCTGCTGCCAATCATTCACATGTCTATAAGGCGCTATACTGCCATGCAAATGCGTGCCAATCCTGCCGCTGCCACCATTGGTACAAGGGACCACCATCAACAGCCTGAGCCACGAATACCAGTGGTGCTGGGGCCATGCTCAGCAGGCACGCTGCTGCTGTTTTGCCAACAGGGCTCCAGCTCGCCACACGGCACAACACGGCAACCAAGCAGTAGGCGCCCTCGTGGACTACCATTAGCATCTACTCGTGCAGCATGTGCATCCCTGGTGCTGAGCATCAGGGAGACTATCAGCTTTTAGTCAGTACCGTAGTTTAGTGAGCCTCCCCAATTGATCAATGAGTTGCCTAATGGCAGAACACAGCACACAAGGAATCCATGCTCTGCCTTGATAGAAGTTTGCTTTGTAAGTGTGCTTCTACATTACACTGCAGCTAGTGAAACCCAATCTACCGTATGAACTTCCAGAGCTACATTTTGAACCTGACTAGAGGTGTGGTGGTGGTGTAGGAGATGTAGATGGCACATATCAGGCGTCCATGGGTTGAACCGGAAAGAGTAACACCGTCACCTGCAACGAGCATGGAGCGTCAAATGCAGTTTGGGCAAGGAAAGGGTGTTCCAGGCAGTATGAGAGAGAGATGCAATGTACGGATGAAGGTGCTGCTTTGGGGCCAAAAGCGTCAAAACCAGAAATGGTTGGATCTAGCAAGCGCCAACCTTTTGGATCTGCATGCATCAGTCCATGTGTGTGACACATGCTGCCAAGATCTGAGCGCACCGTGCACGCTGCAACGACCGACAGCCACCCACGGTGCAGTGTGGAGAAAGGGAGAAGGGAGAAGCTGACCTGCACAGTGGAGAAGGCGAGCAGAGGGGAGGCCACAGTGCCTCCCAGCACGCGGCCGTCAGAGCCAACAAGGGTGGCAGTGAGCCCTCCCATGCGGCTGGAGGCATCGGCAGGGTCGTCCGGCACGTATGAGCCCGACAGTGACACCACATCCAGCGCCCCCTGCATGCATGCACACATGCACAGCAGCCACACTCAACAACCATTGCTTTCTACCTCAACTCCCCTCTCTGTCTCAACCACCCAAACCCACACCAGAAAAGTGCTCTTAGCCACCCATGCCATGCATGGTATTCCCTCACCCACCCCATGTCGTGTGTACTATGACCCACCCCATGTCGTGTGTACTATGACCCACCCCATGTCGTGTGTACTATGACCCACCCCATGTCGTGTGTACTATGACCCACCCCATGTCGTGTATACTATGATCCACCCCATGTCGTGTGTACTATGACCCACCCCATGTCGTGTGTACTATGACCCACCCCATGTCGTGTGTACTATGAACCACCCGATGTCGTGTGCTGCTATGACCTACCGCATGTGGTGTGCTGCTATGACCCACCGCATGTGGTGTGCTGCTATGACCTACCGCATGTGGTGTGCTGCTATGACCCACCGCATGTGGTGTGCTGCTATGACCTACCGCATGTGGTGTGCTGCTATGACCCACCCCATGTCGTGTGTACTATGACCCACCCCATGTCGTGTGTACTATGACCCACCCCATGTCGTGTGTACTATGAACCACCCCATGTCGTGTGCTGCTATGACCTACCGCATGTGGTGTGCTGCTATGACCCACCGCATGTGGTGTGCTGCTATGACCTACCGCATGTGGTGTGCTGCTATGACCCACCGCATGTGGTGTGGCAGGCAGGGCGGCAGCAGGGTCAGAGAGGGAGAGCGGGTGCACGGAGCCATTGGCGGAGAGCACACACACCGCCCTGCCCTCCTCGCGCGACAACATGAATATCCTCGCCGCTACGTCCTGTGTGCCCCGCCCACGGGAGGACACACCCAGGGGAGGACACACTCAGGGGAGGACACACCCAGGGGAGGACACACCCAGGGGAGGACACACCCCGGGAAGGACACACCCAGGGAAGGATGACAGAATGAGGCATGGTGGGGTGGGCACAGGCACGACAGAAAAATCATTCACGCTTCTCTACGCCCCTCCCCTCCCACTCACTTTCCTCTCCAATACCTCCCTCCTTTCCACCATGCCATCTGCTGCTGCCCTTTTCTGCTGGTAGGCCAGCTGCCCTTCCCAATCCCAAGTAAAGAACAGGCAGGCAAAAATGGAGAGCCAGTAACTTACAGAGACAAAGAGAGCTCTAACAAGGCATTTTCAACAGCCACTTTTGAAAAAGTCCAACCATGCCTCGATCCCCACCTCTCTCATACCTCGCCACATGGAACCAGGAGGACTCTCGGCTCGAGTGCTGCACATGGAGCAAGGAGGAGAGCACAGGGAGCAGGGAGCGGGAGCAGGCATGAAGCTGTTGCACTGGGGAACAGACGACACAGCAAGGCCGCAGCGAAAGCAGAGAGGCTGGCGAGCAGCAGTGCGAGCAAGCAGCAAGGCCGGAGGTGGGAGGGGCGCACGCACAGCTGGGGGCGGCAGGCGGCTCGCTCTGACCCGCCTGGCTGCCCAACGGCCGACCGGGGCTTCGCCTTGGCAGACTGGGGTCTTTCGGCGGCCGTCCCGGCTTTCGCTTTGGTGAAGCTGAGTCGTTAGGTGGCCGCCCCGGCCGTCTCTTTGGCAGCGTCGGGTCTTTCGGCGGCCGTCCCGGGCCCCGCTTCGGCGTGCTCGAGTCCTCCGCCACCCGCCCGCCGAGCACCTCCTGCACCCCCGAGTCCTTGCGGGGCCGTCCGCGCTTGCGCTTTGGAAGCGCGGGTTCCTTGGGCGGGTGTTTGCGCGGGCGACCTCGCGGGCGCTTCATGGCCGGCGGGGCTTGCGACTCCGGTGGCGGAGAGAGCAGCTCGGCGGTCACCGTCGACATGCAATTCTCTGAATGGCGAGCTAATCCCGTAAGAAACACACGCAACAACCAACTGAGCTTACTGCCGTCCTGCCAATGCCTTGCACCTCGTCTGCACTACTTGTACAGTCTAGGCCATGTCCGAACCTCTACCACCACGCTAATACTGACAAGCCGCGTTCCGAACGTTGGGAACCAGGGACGCCACGCTTGAACAAATGTTCCATGTTTTATGTTTCCTGCCTGCATGCATCCCAAAACAAATCACATTCTGGTCGGCTAAGGGGTCGCAGTATATGCAGCGGAGAGTCGCAAGCGCTATCGGCACAGCTACTAACGAAACCCTTCGTGATGACGATGTACCAGGTTCTGAAGAGGACTCGATGTTTTTTAAGGTCTACCCTTCCCAATCAGCGTGTCAGTTGAGATCGTTTTTAATTGTTTTATATTGGTTTTCTACAGTTTTTTACTAGTACTTAAGTCTTGCCTCTCTATGGGTATTTCTTGATGCCTTAAGGGTGTTTCCCCGAACCCTCACAATCCAGACACGTTTAGTAGGATGAACACTCTATAGAACTGGCACCACGATCCAACTGAAGCGGATTTGTAGGCATGTCATGTGAAACACAGGTGCGTATTTTCCAAACTCTAGTTTTGCAGGGTGGTAATATTAGCTAGCAGGGAAAACCGGCTCATCTGAAAATACTACTGATCGGTTCCCTGACCCGAACACCAGGGGCTGAGCGCCAGCCAGCCCCCAAAACCAAAGGCAGGGTGCACTGCCAAGCCAAACCTGCCAGAAAAGGGACCACCAGACCAACTGAAAGCGAGCGAGGGAAGACAGTTTGGTTTGGCTCGGGGGGCGCAGGGGACTGGGAGGACGACGGATGGGCGGTGGGGTGGGCGGGTGCCAGTCAACGCTGGCCAGCTGAGGACAAGGCCGCGAGGGTGAAAGGGAGGGTTGTCCTCAGCAGGGAAACTTTCTTGATGGTTGGTGTTACCTACTCTCGAATAAAAAAACTCGGACATGTCCTTCTAGAAGAGCATCTCCTTTCTAAAGAGCATATGTTTGAAGGCAACTCTTTGTTCAGGACACGTGGACATAGCGAACTCCCTTTTACCGTGAGACGTCATGCAGTTTCAGCAATCGGACTTCTCCCAGCTTCAGCAGGCGCAGGAAGACCAATTTAGGGTTCCACTCAATGCGGGTATAGAGCCTTCATTCAGGGCGGACCAGTGCGCAGCAGGACGCGGCGACGCCGCCTCATTCTTACCGCCGAGTGCGGCGGACCTGTCGCAGCTGCCTGGGGGCGCCATGGACTTCACGGCGTTGCCAGGCGAGCCCGCGTGGCCGCTTGGGGCTCGCGATGGGCTCTGGTTCCCCGAAGCTTCACAGTTAGTCGCTCCGCCCGTCGACGCTGCTGCGACGAATGAGTTTGGCGGGGCCGCTGGTGGCGGCGCTGTGAGCATGGACGGCGGCGACTTGGCGTCGTCGGGGGTGTCGCGGGATTTGCTGCTGCAGCTGCTGTCGGCGGGTCTCGACATGCCCTCGCTGCAGGCCATGCTCGCCGCGCTCGACGCCCCCACCACCGCCACCGCCACCACCCCGCTCGCCATGTCGTCACCACTCGAGTCGCAGCCGCCGCTGCCGCCCCAGGTGGGTGCGGACAACACGGCGCACCTGTTCGCAGCAGGCGCGGCTGCGGCGGCGGAGCACACGGTGGGTGGACTCAACGGCTCTGCGCCGCCGGCAAGCGGCCGCGCCACCCTGAGCCAGAGCCACAGCCTGGACGGTCGATCTGCGCTTCCGCCCGTCTCGCCGCAAGTCAACGCGCGAACTCGACCGCAGCTCACGGCGGGCGAGCGCCCCGTGCCGGTGCTGGGGTCCGCCGCGCACGGCGCGCAGTCGAGCCTGCGCTCCCGGCGGGGCCTGCCCGACCTCTCCAGCTCGCTGGCCAACGCACGCCCCTCCCCCGTCTCCCGCCTTGCCGCTGCCACCGCCGGCAATCCCCCCTCCAACTCGGGCAAGCGCGAGGCGGAGGCGGGCATGACGGGCGGAGCGGCGCGGTGGCCGCTGTCCCCCGCGCTCAAGAGTCCGCGATCCGACGGATATCGCAGCCCCGGCGGCAGCCGCGTTCTGTCCGCCATAGCCGCGAGCCCCACGGGGCTCGCGAGCGACATGGCGCAGCTGCGCGTGCGCTCGCTGCCCACCACTCCACTAGGCGGGGCTGCGCCCTTGCCGCTGGGGCCAGCGCGCGGCGGAGCGGGAGGGGGCGTGCGATCCGCGGAGTCGGCAGGCAGAGGGTCGCACTCGAGAGGGTCGAGCGGCGAGCAGGGCTACGAGGTGGCGTCGGCAGGCGGGCAGGACGGAGCCGCGCGGGACGGGCAGGAGGGCGGGATGGAGGCGGGCGCCGCGCACATGGAGGAGGGCGGCGGGGCGGCAACAGGGATGGGCGAGGGCGTGGAGGGCGGCGGAGGGGGAGACGAGCTGTATGGCGGCGATGGTTTTGGGCTGGACGAGGGGGGGGACGAGGAGGCGGACGGGGAGGGCGGCAAGGGGGGGGGCGGAGGCAAGGGGCGGGGCCGGCATTCGACGAAGCCGCGCAGCGTGGCGGAGCGCATGCGGCGGGAGCGCATCTCAGCGCGGTTGAAGCGACTGAAGGACGTGATGCCGCGCACGGACGCGCGCACAGACACGTCCGCCATGCTGGACGACGCCGTGGTGTACATCCGCTCCCTGCAGATGCGCTGCGCCGCCCTCGAGACCCAAAACGCCGTGCTCGCTAAACAGCTCGCCGATGCTGCCCGCACCCGCGAGCACGCCCCGCAATAGCGCCTTCCCCCGCTGCTGCGTGCAGCTGCCACTGCCTCACCCATGCCTTGCCCTGTCCTTAGCCTAGGCTGCCTGCGCCCACTGCTGACCTGCTGATCACCCCATCTGTTGCTTGCACACGAGTACATGCTATCCTAATTCTTGTATATTCAAAACTTTATGAACAACTCCACCTCATTGTGTGGAATATCGCTTCTGTCTTTCGCCCGTCTTCTCACTCACTCACACTCCCACTCTCCCTCTCTCCATCTCTCTCTTCCTGCCTCCCTCTCTCCTACCCCTCTTGGCACTCCTCCGTCCCTCCACCAATCCCTCCCTCGCTCCCTCTCTCGATTTGCCAATCCATCCCTCGTTTCCTCTCTCGCTCTGCCCCTCCCTCACTCACTCCCTCCCTTCCTTTCGTTTCTTACTCCCTTGCCCCTTTCTGCTCCCGTTCTACCTCCTTATCTCCCATTCATGCCATCTCCTTCCCCTTCTCTCTCCGTTCATCCTCTCCCACGATAACTCTGTCAAGCCCTTTATCCCCCCCTCTTTACTCCCTCCCCCACTCCCTCCCTCCCCCCTCCCCTCCTTCCCTCCCTCCCTCCCTCCCTCCCTCCCTCCCTCTCTCCCTCCCTCCCTCCCTCCCTCCCTCCCTCCCTCCCTCCCTCCCTCCCTCCCTCCCTCCCTCCCTCCCTCCCTCCCTCCCTCCCTCCCTCCCTCCCTCCCTCCCTCCATCCCCTCCACCTCCCTTTCCTTCCCCCCGCTCCCCTCCCGTTCTTCCTCCTTTTCTTCCTCCTAGGCCATCTTTCCTTCCCCTTCTCTCTCCCTTCCCTCCCTCCCACGTTCACTCTTGCCAACCCTCGATCCCTTCCTCTTTCCCCGCCTCTATGCTTCTTTTTGTTCTGCCTTCATTCTTCCCTCCTTCCTTCCCCTCCCTCCAACCCTGTCTCCTTACTCCCGTGTCCTCTCATTACATTGATTACTTCCTTCCTCCTCCCTCTTCTACACGTCTTCACTCTTCTGCTCCTCTCCCCGGCCTTTCATTGCTGTGGATAGAAAACAGCGAACGGCATTGTTAGTGCATTCAGAAATTTGGTCTGTTCTGATATGAAGTGTCTTCAACCTGAAAAGTTGGAATGCTGTCTCAATCAGGGCTCTTGCTAGGATTTAGGCCTGTCTGAAAAAAAAAAAAAAAAAAAAAAAAAAAAAAAAATCGTTTCGTCTGACGTTCAGATGGGCAGTTTTTTTTTGTCTGAATTTTCAGACGAATGCTGGAGCTACGGTACGTCTGAATTTTCATATGATTTGCTTTGGATGGTTTGATTCAGCCAATTACCTATAGGAAATGTAAATTTTTGAAAGTGAAACACTTTCTAAAATTGTGTATCGTGAATAGCGAAGCGAATTGTACCGAAGCAAAGGCTTCGGCGAACCGCTACTTCCCCTCTTTTTGGTACAAAAGAGGGGGCGAAGGCCATTTGGCCTTCACCCACGTTTTTCATTTCGAACTTTCAAGTTCAAGTTTCGAGATTTCTCGTCCAAGCTGGCGAGGGTCAAGTCTCTCCCTCGCTTCACTTCTCCGTCAACGCTCCTCTCCGACATCCTCGAGCGGAACTTATTGTCAAACATATGTGTATATATGTTATAGTTTGGTTAGGCTTAGTGGGGTACTCACTGTGGGGTACAACCCCTTAGGTTTCTCCTTTGTACCTTTCCCCTCGATAGTCGACACCCAACTTTTCCCGTAAGATTCTAACATGGTATAGAGCATAGGTCCTTAGGACCTACGATTAGGGCCCACCACGATTGCCTGTCTTGCCTAGTGCCTACGCGCGCCTCGGCTGCCCGCGCGCGCCTCGGGCGGTCCTTTTTTTTTTTTTTTTTTTTTTTTTTTTTTTTTTTTCCCACGTACGCCGTCTCAGCAGCCCGCGTAGCCCGTTTCGGCCCCGCCTGTGCGCCCCTTAAGCCGCCCGTGCGAAACCTGATTAGACCACGCCAGCGCGGCCCGTCGCCCCGCGTAGCCCGTAGCTTAGCGACCAGCCCGCAGCCGCGCACGTGCGGCCCGTCGCCCAGCGCAGCCCGCAGCCGCACGTAGAATGCAGCCGCGCACGCTGCCTGTAGCCACGCACAGCCCGCAGCTGCAAGC